TTAATAAAGAATTAATAAATTTTATTGTTTTAGAAATTATAATTTTTAAACTTTTAAATTTAAATACTAAAAATTTTATAGTGTAAATTAGATAATTAAAAATTTTAAATTTTACAAAATAAGAAAGTAAATACATGCTTTAACTAATAAAAAATTAATATAAAAATTGATATTTTAAAAGTTGAGAAAATGTTATCCCGTGAGTAATAGCAAAAGCAAGTTGAAAAGAAACTTTAAGTCGAAGGCACAAGAAAAAATGATTACTTACTAAGAATACCATGTTTCGCTATATTCTTTGAGAAAAAGTAAAGAAGTCACTTCCTTGAACCAAAACACAACCAAAGTAGTGTTAATTTTATTATTTTTTGGTAACTATTTATTAATTTTAAATAAGAGACAAAATGCCTTAACCTGATCTACCCAAAAAATAATTGAATGTCCACCCGAAACACACAGCCTTAACTCCGAATCAAAATAATTCCAAATCAAAATAATTCAATTACTCATGCGTTGTGATCACATCAAGCTCTCCCGCCCACATTTGATAAGGTAGCTTGGCCCCTTCTAAGTTCTAACCAAGGGCAAGGTGATCTAATTTGAATTGATGGGGGAAGAAAATTTTTTAGAACTTTTGCCATAAAACAAAAATTATTAAATAAAAGATAATTTTTAATAAAAAATTTAATTTTATTTAAGAATTTAAATTATATAATTTAATGCAATACTAACTAGACAACACTCGTTCAAATTTTTATACAATCTTAAATTATTAGTAACTAAATCTTTATTTTTTGTCACAAACTAAAATTAGTGATGAAATTTAAATCATTAGAAAACTCTTGTTATTAATACTCTTAGTGACGAATTTGACATCTATCACATAAAATTTTTTTATAGTGATGGAAAAATCTATATTATTAATGAATTATTTGTAACAAATAAAAAGAATACTAATTTTTGAAAGAACCCAACGTGTTGGGTTCCATCAAACCCAGGCATGTTGGGTTCAAAGGAACCCAATGACGCTTGTTGGGTTCGACAGAACCCCAGCGCCTGCTAGGTTCAATCGAACCCAGGCGTTTGCTAGGTTCAATTGAACCTAGCAAGCATCACTGGGTTCAACAAAACCCAAGTATGTTGGGTTCGATTGAACCCATCAGACACCTGGGTTCGATCAAGCCCAGCAAGCATTGTTAGGTTCAATCGAACCCAGATCTGGTGTTGAGGAAGGGAGAGAGAAAATGAAGGCTGTTGGGAGAAGAAGATGAACAACAACTAGGTTCAATCGAACGTAGATCTGGTGTTGGGGAAGGGAGAAAGAAAATGAAGGCTTCTAGGGTAAGAAGATGAACAACCATTGGGTTCAATCAAACCCAGATTTGGTGTTGGGGAAGGGAGGAGAGAAAATGAAACCTATTGGAGGAAGGAGATGAACCAAAGAGGTTGGAGATAAGAAGGAAGGGGTAACGAAAGGAGAAAGGAAAGAAATTGATGTGTGGTTGAAGGAAAGGGTAAAAGAGTAATTTTAATTTTATAATTAGTTTAAAATATTTTAATTTTTAATTGAAAATTACGTATTAAAGCTTCATTGTCATCTGCCAATCCTACGTGTCAAATTATTTTTACACGTCATCTTTTTCTATCAAGTAACAGGACACATGGTTGAAAATTTAACGGAAAGATCAAGTTGGGGTTAATATGGTAAACAGTAGGGATTAAATTAAGAATTTTTTGAGTTGAGGGATTAAATCAGAAGCCTGTACAATAGGTAAGGGACCCAAATGGAGTTTAACCCTTTAAATTCTGCAGAGTGACAAATTCTAAACGCATGGTGCCGACATACAATCCGTGTCGGGTTTTGATTCCTTTAGCAATGTCAATAATGGTAAATATTAGATCAGGTGCTTAATCTTTTCCTTATAAACACTTTGATCCTAAAATTTTAATTTATTCTTTTATAGCATTGGATTATAGCTTTTATTATTGTCATATAGTCTTTAAACTTTTAAAATATTTTAATTTAAGTCTCAAAACT